CGCTGCTTTCCAGTAAAACATTACTTCTGGGAACCACCTGAAACAACCTGCCCTTCAGCTGATGGGGGACAGGCTTAAGAATTCCACTTCCTGCTCAGAATTCTGAAATAAACGATTAATAACTGTGTGACTGGAACTCACAATACACTCCCACATCAAGCTCTCATGTCTAATAATGCTGACAATTGTGGCTGAGAGCCTGTCCCACCACACCACGTGCAGCGTTTTTGTGTATTTTAAGACCCAATTCCCCTCTGGGCAGGATGAGCAGCAGGTCAGGGACCGGGTGCTGGTAGCTTTGGCCAGCCAGTGCTCCCAGCTCTGGGCACAGAGAGCAGCACCCACCAAAGTCAGGGGCCTGAAGGCATGAAAAGCCTTTTATCTGCACTACTTGTACTTCATATGGAATTACCTGCATTTATAAGTAGGCATTTTCTCCCCAGATATTCCAAAATTAAGGCAGAGTTACCAAATTTACCAAGCTTGTGTCATATCTACAGGTCAGAACAGGACACAGATGATACTGTTTGGGCCCTGACAGGTCTCTTGTCAGAGGCAAACTGCTATCTCAGGCACACTATTATTATTTAAAAGCATTTTCCAAACTATAAAATGCCTGCAGGGATGCAAACAAGGAGCATGGTTCCTTCAAACCACAGGGAGAGAGCACCCGAGTTCCTGGATATTCTCTCACAGTGACACACGAGCTGCCAGGTGCTGCAACCATTGCCTACAGTCAGACTTCCAACAGGACATGTTAGAAATCAAATTAGCAGGTCCCTACAAAATCAGAACTAAGGACAAGATTCCCTCTGTAGATCCTTTCCTTCAGCTCTTTCAGCAAGCTGAAGGTGAGGTCTTTCTTTTAAAAAAATCAGAGTGCACCTTAACAAAACAACACTTATTTTCTAAGGTGTATTTTCAGATTGAAAAGTTTCAAGAGGTCATAGTAACACTCTAAACCACATATTTTCTAAGAGAACACAGAAGTAGGTTTCTGTGTTCTGATCACATATTGAACACCTAGACCAACAAAACTACATCAGCGTGGAAAGGCAAAATACTGCATATCCCTGGATGTTCTGGATAGAAACAACAAAACAATTATCTGCTCATTAACTCAAACTTTGTAGGATTTCCCTTTCTACTCCAAGAACAAAAACTAACTCTACTCCTTTCTGTTTTTAGCCAAATGAGCAGACACAGTGGCACTGCAAGTGAGAGATGACAATCTGCAATTGGAGTTTCAGAGCTCCATTGATAAATGAGACTGACTACAAGTAAATCCCCGAAACTTTAAAGAAAGTGGGAAGTATCTTGCAGACAAGGGCTGGCATTTTAAGTCCTGAAATCAATATAGCAGATTTAGATGAGGCACTTCCTTATCTTGACACCAGATTCAGCGTCACCTTCTGGGTTTGACTCCAAGCACCAGAAGCCAGAGCCTCATCCCAAAACTCCAAGGTGCAGCACAGGGAGATCCCAGAGAGGCTGCTCACCCATTCAGCAGTGCTGCATCTGAATTCTGGCTTTAACATTCCTGCACAACTTCAGTAGAGTTTGCGTTTTTCAGTATGTCTTGTGGTAACTACAGATCTGGTATTCTGGAATTCTCAGCAGGATGTGAGACACTTTTGTGCATGTTACCAGAAAACAAACCACAATATTACTGTAAAGCATGTTCTCATCCCAGTAAAAGGACTCTTCTTAGAAAGTCATCACAATTAGCATTTCTCTCACTGCATCCTTACACGTCTATGGGCTCACTTGCCCACTAAAATGTTATTTAAATTACCAGTATTTAGCCAGCTTGTACCAGTGCATGTCTTTACAATCAAGGGAAAGAAATGAGAAATTCCAGTCACCAGCACAAACTCGAGGTACATTTTGTTCTTTCAAATGAAAAATATTCACTTGTTGAGTTTCTGACTATCCAAAGGAACAAATTTTGTCAATGCATCAAAATACGAGCTATAATGTTGTTCACAAACCTTCTCAACTCTCAAAAGGTGCCATGTAGTTGCAGAAGTCACATACAAGTCTGCACAACACGAAAGGCAGGCTAGTGACAGGGACAGGAGCTGACAAGTCTAGAGACCCCAGTTTCCAGTAGCAGGGTTTCAGCTGCTCTCACAACTTCAGGCCATAGCATACTGGATGGGGACATTTGGCCAAAAATGCTGTCCCTCAGTGAACTAGTCAACCCCAGCACTTAGTAAAATGTTAGGAAGCACCAGAGGCTGTGGATTGCAGTCCTCTGGACACAGGGGCTGTAGATGGATGAAGTACTCTGAAACTCCAGAACTGGCACTAATTGTTCACCCAGCTTCAGAAAAGCTTCATTCCCTCTACCCACTCTAATGTAAATCCGTATGTCCAGCAGCAGCAACAACATAGAATTTCAACTGCACACTCTCTATTGAGCAGCCAATAAAAATTAGATCCTCTCAGATTAATCACAATCCTGAAGTCAGCCCCCCTGCTCCTGCTCACAAGGAAATCCTGCTGCATCACGGGTTAGCGTGTCATTTCAAAACAACCCTCTGCACCCTTACATGCATTTTCTCAGGCTTTCCAACAAAAAGTCATCACAGTTGAGTCAGAAAAAAAAGAAAGAATAAACTAGCTTCTAATTCTGTAACAGGAAGAATTTCTTCCCATGGTCAGAACACCTTTTGACAGACAACTCGCACACTGCCTTGTGGCTCAGGGATTTCTTCATTGGTGGATGGGTTATACTGCACAAACACTCATCAAATAATCGTGGTATAGCACTAGGCAAGACCAAACTGCTTTGGATCCAAAGAATCTGCATTGATTCTTCTCTCACACCACTCCTTTTTCACTAGTAATAACATGGAAAAGTTACTGAACTCAGACATTAATGTCATCCATCCCACCAAACATAGGACACAGTTTAAGAACGGTTGCATTAGTGGTGTGACCTGGAGAAGGTTTTTCATTCCTTAACAACCTCAACAATAGATGCTATCACTAGACTAACTCTGTGCAGCTACAAAATTATGCGAAATGCAACTGAAATAATCAATACTTACAAAGCAGCTCGATTCAGTTTAATTAAACTCACACTGTCTTCCCAGAAACTAAGTTTTTTGACACTGGCATTGGCAGTCATGTCCCTTTAAGTTGCGCCATGGATACTACAACTATTTTCTTTCTCCCCAGTCATGCTTCCTCCCAACCACTGCTCACACTCCCTGTTCCATCCCAGGAACACAGGGAAAGTAGAGTGCGGCTGTCCACCACTTCCCAGGATGGGCCAGGTACCAAGTGACCACTGAAGCCTTCCACTACTCCAAGCACAACCTTGGCTATGTTTGAGCCCAAGAGCGCAGGACCCCAGCCTGGTTTTGTGCCTCTCCCCCCCTCCCAGCACCGGCCATAGGGCATTGCCTGCACTTGGCTGCTCCCGGAGCCATGGATCCCTGGATCCCGGCTCCGGTCCCGCCACCCCTGGGGCTCAGCGCGCTGCTTCTCCCATTTAAAACCGGGGGCAGCCCCACGAGTGCGTGACACGGTTCTGTCCCCCAAGCCAGCCAAGGGGTGGCCGCTCGTCCCGGTGTCACTGCACTGGAAACTCGGGGATGAGCAACAGGAGCGGCGGGCGGGGGTCCCCGGCCCCGGGGCTGTACCCCGGCCTGGCCCCCCTGGATTCCGGCCAGGCGCTCGGGCGGCCCGGGCGCTCCCGCGGGCCGGGCCAAAGGCGGGTCGGGCCGCCCACCGGCTCCCGGAACTTTCCCTCCTCCGCCGCCGCCCGGGGCCGGCCGGGGGCCGCCGCCACCGAGCCCCGCGCGGCGGAAGCGCCACCCCCGCTCCGCCCGAGCATCCCCCGTCGCCCCCACGGGCCCGCCACGGCCGCCGCCACCCGGAGCGGGGCGCAGGCCCGGCGGCGGGGGAGGCCGGCCCGGCTCGGCCCCGCGCCCCCGGCAAAGCCCCGGCGGGGACAATGAGATGGCGGCGAAGAGCGCCGCGCCCGGGGGACCCGTTGCTCCGGCAGGAGCCGCCCCGCCCCGCGCCGCCTCCTCTTCCCTCCCCTCCCCTTCTCCTCTCTCCTCGCACGGGCAGCGCCCGCTCCCGGCCCGGCCGCCGCGGAGACCGAGCGAGCGAGCGGCCCCGGCCCCGCTGCCCCCGCCCCTCGCGCCTCCATCTTGGATCGGCGCCTCTCGCGCGCTCCCTCCCCGCGCGCCGCGCTCACCTCGGGCCGCGCCGCGGCGGCGCCCCGGGAGCGCCCCGGGAGCGCTGCGGGAGCGGCGGCGGCGCGCGGGGTCCGGCGGGCGCGGGCCGGGGCCGGGGCGGCGGCGCTGGCGGGGCCCGCGCGGGGCTCAGCGGGGCCGCGATCCTAAACCGCCACCTGGCGGCATTTCCGACCCGCCACGGCGCAGCCGCCTCACGCGCCGGGCGCGCAGCGCCCCCTGCCGCCCGCGCCGCCGCACCGCGCGCGCCCGACCCAGCGCCGCCGCGCCGCGCGAGAGGAAGGGGCGGGAACGAGGGGAAGCGGCCCCGCCCCGGCGCGCGCGGCACGCGGGAAAACGTCTTTCGCGCGGAAACGGCCGCGCGTGCGCCGCGTGCCCACCAACACCGCCCAGGAGGGCGACTGTCGCGACAAAGCCTCCGGGGACACGGCCACTGGCGGAGGGGGCGTCTATCACGACGGAGCGGGGGGCGGGGCAGAGCTTCGGGCCCAGTGAAGCGGCGGGGAAAGGGACACAGGCGGGAGAAAGGGATCGTGACTGTCACGACAGAGCAGGGATGAGGGCCCAGCGTGGGCTGGAGCGCCTCGCCAGCCTGCGGCGGTGCCTGGACGGGTGGGCCCCGCGGCGCCAGGGTGGTGGCAGTGATGTGACGGGCCGAGCGGGGCCGGCACTCTCCGCCATGGCGGGGGCGGCGCGGAGGGCGCGGCACGGCGAGGACCGAGCCCGGGCAGCCACCGCCCTGCACCCGCTCCTGCCCAGAGGGGCTTTCCTGCAGTCGCTGCCGGGGTTCCCATGGAGACGCCCCGCGTCCTCTGACGAGTGCCCTCTGGACAGTTGCCATCGCGATTGGTGCCGCCCTCCTCGCAGCGCTCCGAGCTGGGTCGCTTTGCAGGCGACTGTCCCCTCCTGCACACCCCGCACGCACCGCTGGCTGCCGCGGGTTGCAGATTGTTGGGAGAGGATCCAAAGCAGTGAGAGAGGTTATCTCTAATCTCGACCTGTCATCTGCTGTCGTGGACCGAAGGTGCCGTCTCGTCCTTCATCCATTGTAATGTACCTCTTAAAACCTTCCTTACATCTAACTGAGCTGTTTTCCTGGTTTCCTGTGCTAGGACTATAGGGGGACTATATTTCAATGGTAATGTATTCTCTGTTCTTTCCCCGTGCCTGGAACTGCTGTCTGAAGGGGTTTGTTCAGATAAGGGGTTTTGGAATGGGAAGTTTGCAGGTAAAGTGGCTCTTCTCCCAAAATCACTTAATGCAAATGTTGCTGCTGCAGAGGTAGGAGCTGCAACAGGCATGAATGGAGAAATGAGAAAATAGTATTTTTTCATGGAAACGGCTGCAGATGGAGCAAGAGAATAGAGAAAGCAAGGGGAATTAAAGGTATATCCCACCAAATAAGGTTGCTTCAGTGAGCTAGCACAAATAGAGGTAGTTTTTTGCATAGCAAAATATTATCAAGAATGTACTGACAACGCGTGGGACTTCAGAGTTTGTATTTGTATTCAGTAAAGGTTGTACTGGCTCTTCCTTCAGGCAGTGCTGCTGGATGTGACTCAATTAATTTGAAGGCACGGGATACTGGTTTGTTGGTTTGTGTATGATGTTTGCTCTTGTGCTTAAGTGCTAAAAACATCTTTCATGTAATTGCTTCTTCATTTTCTTAAAACACCTTTTGCTATTCATTAAATTTTAATAAAGATTTGAGTTTCTTGGAATGTATTTTTAATGAAATTGGTTTATGTCAATCTAGCTAAAAAGATAAAGGTACTTGTGCATCACATGAGTGTAGATCCCTTGGCATGTGCAGTTGCCTGAAGTATGAAACACCTAAGAATCTCCAGGTTTAATGGTGCTGAAACAGGATTTTGGGAGATTTTCTTGCACTTGATGGGGAATCAAAAGAAAACCCCTTATCCTGAGAAGTCAGTGCACACATGTGCATAGTGAAGGTGGCACGAGTTCAAGTCAGTTCCATGGATTTCCAGGGGTGGGTGCGTCTTTCCTTTGTGTGATGTTCATGGAGAATTGCCAGTCTGTAGTTATCCTGTAGAAACTGTTCACAGCCCTCTGGTAATTTCAGCCTGATCTGATCAGGATTGGGGGATTTTCCACAGAAGAGGCAAAGGAGCATTCCTGTGGGGCCTGTCTTTCAGACTGCAGGGGTAGCTGACTTATTCCCCACTCTGTATCTGTGGCTGGAATTGCCACGTCTGAGTCTTTCATAACAACACTTCAGTAGCCTGACTGATTTTAACCAATCTGGCAGAAGATGAGAGTATTTTTTTGTGTGTTTATTCAAGATTGGTGGTTAGAATCACCAGACCTCAAAGCCTTCATTCCTACAGGCACAGAAGGAGAGTTCAGGCTCCCACCCCCAGCAGTCAGGGGGCAGATAATCACCTATTTCTACCTGGCTAACCAGCACTTGCAGTGGTTGAGGGAAGAAAGAAGAGGACTAATTGGTCTTTTTTTTCTTTTAAAAGAATTCATGGTTTGTATTCTATCAATGATCTGTGCCCTTTATTTGATCTACAGTGATTGTTCCCCCAAGGGAAAACAGGGTTCACACTTTGCAGTCAATAATTTCAATGAGCTGGTCATTTAAATGGGTGTCCCAGGCTGAATAGGGAATGTTTGTTTTTTTAATATAACTTCAGAATTTTACATAGTGCTTCATCTTCAGCCTTGTATTAAATTTGATTCAAAATCAACTTGTGTTTTTGATAGAAAATTCAACTAAGCCACGTTAAGTTTCCAGACATGAAGGAAAAATAAAAAGTTCATTTCATCTTCACAAAGGCATGGGCAGAAAGAGAAATAGCAAGTTGTCTATATAGGCTGTGCTGATTTCTGTCTACTTTAAATTTGTGTCACGGACACACATAATGGATCTGGGATATGCCCTAATCTCAGTCTCTGTGCAAAATCTCACTGATTAAGAAAAGCAAGGTCACCAAAGACTACAAACAAATGTACTGTGGGGGAGTTGGCATCACATTTGTCATACACTCAGTATTAAGTTGGGAAAATGAAATTTTGGGCTAAGCATTCCTGGTTTTTTTTGTTGTTGTTGTTCCTTATTACTTCCCGTCTCCTGTCTTTGACACGTGTTTGGCCTTCCACTTTCCAGACTCCCAAGTGTTGTGGTTCCCAGCTGAGCAGTCCTGGGGGAGCAGCTCTGTGCAGAACAGCCATTTTGAGCTACATGCTCACCATCTATTGTTTTTCTCCAGAGAGCTCCCTCAATACATTGCACAGGTCCGGTGCCACATTCGCAACTGTTGTGTTGAATTTGCAACTATTTGTTGAAAGAAAGTGTAATCTAAAACGAGGAAGCAAGAAAGTTACCGTTGTATGCTCATGGTTACAAATGAGCTATTTTGGTTTTGTTTTCAGGAACAGTTGCAGCGTTTACTCAGCTGTTTCTTAACGAAATGGATGAGTTTACCCAGTGGTCTACTGTTAATCTAATAATAATTCCTGTTGTCCACTTTTGTCTTCTTTTCTCCCCACTTGTTTTATTCACGATCTAGTACGTTGTGCCTTAAAGCAAGAAAGTCTTAATTTTTTTAAGGCTGCAAGGCAAAACTGTGGATTGTCACACAATGAAAATGCTAGGTTAGGAAAAGCTGTGCGAGTGAAAATCACAGCCTTCCCGGGCTCACTTGGCGCAGTTTGCATTTGCATGTTAAAAGATTCGGAAATGAACAATTTAACTGAAGGAAAAGTGAAGGTAGCAGGTGAGCCTGGGGCACATTTCTGGCAGGTGTTGGTAAATGTTGATGTGTTGTTTGAAGTGTCTGCTAGCACAGCTGATACCCAGCTCTGTTTACTCTCCCTGGCGTTCATCTGCTCGTTCTCAAGCTCCTTGCCCAGTAAGCAGACCCTGGACACCCTGGAATGCTCTTCACCGTGCAGGGGGTGCTGGGTGCGCTCTAGCCCTGGGTCTGCAGCAGAAAAACGTGAACAGCAGTGCTGGGCAAGGCCTCCTGAGAGACAAGGGACTCGAGAGGGTCCTCAGCCCCTGGTACTTGCACAGGTCCCAACTGGAGCTGCTGCTTCCTCCACAGCTGGGACTCGTGCCTGCCCGTGTCCCCCTCCCGTTCATCCCTACGAGGAGAGCAGGGAGTCGGCTACAGCTCACACAGGGTGCAGCAAGGGGTTAATGATCACTCAGCCTGTGAGGAAAAAGGCAGACTGTCCCATTTTCATGTAAATTAATTTGCCAGAGACACGGGCAGTGTTTGGCTGTCACAGATCAGAGGCACAGAAAATGTCAAGGCTGAACCTGGTCGCGGTATTTTTAGTGTTTCTGTGAGGAACTATTGCCCGCATTTTAGCACTGCCTTTAGAGCTGTGTTCTGCCTGACAATCTGCTGTCCAGCCCATTGTCCAGCAGCTGAGGTCTTGTACCGCCAGGACCCCCAGGAACGCTGCGGTGCTCCCTGGGGACAAGGACTGTCTGTACCCATGTTGCGGTGCCACCGCAGAGGCCAAGCTGCTGTTGGCAGGAGGCAGCTCCGGAGGAGGAGGATGGGTCCTCCTGGGCTCCCTCTCCTCTGCAGCCCATCACGGGTCAGCACGGCAGGCATGGGAGCGTGGATTGCCTTGGTGTCGAGCTCTAGGAACTTTATGCTGACGAGATGCCACTGATTGTTTCTCTCCATCTAAAGTGGTTTGAGGTTTGAGCCTCCCTTGGGGTTTACTTTCTGTGCCGAGATGGTTGTAACCTTTCCTGCTGGTACCTGAGAGCAATTGCTGTTTCTGCCTAGGTAGCCCATCGAAGATGTAGATGATTAAGAGGTGTTTTCCCCCTCTGCTTTGGGATCGAATCACTCTGTCACAGGTGAGGTCTGCATAGGTTTTATTTGCTGGGGTGAAAAGAAGGCAGGGAAGGTCTCATTGCTCCTGCTGCCTCTTCACTTGGAAGGCTCTGCACAGATAGTGTGAGAGAAGTCATTTCAATGGATGTACTCCTGCCTTAATTAAACAACTGCCCCACCCCAGGAATCACAGGCACTGTTTGTGTAGTGGGAAATGGCCCTTTACGAGGAGACAGAAGGGTTTAACACTGTCACAGCTGTGTTCAAAGCTGTGTTGTTATCCATATACAAAATGCTGACTTGCCCGGGGTGCTCCCTATTTCCCTGTGTTATGCTCTGTCACCTCCTCCGGCCAAATTTTTCCTCTAATCTTGTAACACTGGCAAGCCATTAACAATACTCCATAATTTACAGGGTAAAAAGCTCAGGAAGAGAACTTTCTTATTAAAATATACTAGAATTCATTATATATATAATGATAGTGACAAAATATGTTATTTTCAAAAATTAGTAGCTAAAGTGAAGTGCCATGGTTTAAGGAGACCAAAATGGCCCAGCCATCAAAGATATTTAGCAGTAACTCTGAAAAATTAAAGCAAAACCAAGAACGGGCTACTAGTACTGGGATTTGGTTGATAAAAATAGCTTGTAAACACTAAAAGCACTTAAATCCTAATGAATCTCTCACTATTCATTAAATAACAGTATATCTCATTTTTTTTTCTTAAGACCAAGGTATTTTTCTAAGGAAATGGATACATCTTCCCAAAAATACCCAGTCAAAAAGCGAGTGAAAATTCATCCCAACACAGTAACAGTGAAATACACCTCTCATTATCCCCAGCCAGGGGAAGAGGGATGTGAGGATGTTAATGAAGATACTGGAGTATTTATGGAGGATAATCCTAAGAGAAGATTACTGAATGATGGGAAAAAGAGAGAAAAGACTTTCTTTGGTACAATAGACACCAAGCCAGCACAATTGCCAAAACCTGATGAGATTGGACAATCCCAGCAGTTATATGAAGGAAATGTACTGCAGTCCAGGAAAACATGGGCAGTCCTTTTTGGCTCTGCTGTGGCTCACGGATGTGTGGCTCTGATCACAAGATTAATTTCTGACCGTTCCAAAGTGCCATCTCTGGAGCTGATTTTCATCCGCTCAGTCCTGCAGGCGCTTTCCCTCACTGCTGTGTGCTACCACCACGAGCCTCCCTTCGGCCCCAAAGGCTACCGGCTCCGACTGTTCCTCTACGGGGTCTGCAATGTCATCTCCATCACCTGTGCCTACACCTCCTTCTCCATAGTGCCCCCCAGCAATGGGACCATCATGTGGAGGGCCACCACCACGGTCTTCAGTGCCATTCTGGCTTTTTTACTCATAGATGAAGGAATGGCTTATATAGACATAGTCACTGTCCTTGGCAGTGTGTTCGGTGTTTGTCTGGTCATGATCCCCAACATTGTTAAGGAGGAGAACTCTTTGCTGAACACCTGGAAGGAAGCTTTTGGCTATACCATGACTGTCATGGCTGGTCTGACCACTGCCCTTTCCATGATAGTCTACAGGTCCATCAAAGACAACATCAGCATGTGGACAGCACTGTTCACTTTCAGCTGGACGGGAACAGTGTGGGGAGCATCCACCATGTTCCTGCTCCAAGAGCCAATTGTCCCACTGGATGGGGAAACCTGGAGCTATCTCCTTGCCATCTGCCTGTGCTCCACTGCAGCCTTCCTGGGGGTCTACTATGCCCTAGGCAAGTTCCACCCTGCTCTGGTGAGCACTGTGCAGCACCTGGAGATCGTCATTGCCATGGTCCTGCAGCTCCTTGTGCTGCACAGCTTCCCAAACACTTGTGATGTGGTTGGGGCAGTGCTTATTTTGGTGAGTGTTTTTTTCCTTGCATGTTATAAGCTTTCCTGGAAGGAATTAAGAAGGCAAGATTATCAAGAGATTGTGGATTTACCCATTAAATGAATGTCAGTTTTCAATGTCTGATTTCTGGCTGTGACCATGTGGAAGTGACTCCTTTCAGCTCCTGTGTCCGAGTGTAGTGGCCAGGCCCTCTCTCTACCATTTCACTTTTCAGCTGATGTAGTAATGTTGGTATCTCCAGGTGCCTGTGCCAGGTGGATTTGTTCTGCTGCACACAACCATTTTATCATACCCAAAAGAGTAGCACACAGGGTGCACAGCCAGCACAGCCTGGCCCACTGAAATGCAGGCCAAGCTCTTCTTGACCTTCTCTGCATAAAGCAATACAGAGGGATTCAAAAGTGACTCTCTTTCAGGAGTGATGTGGTAGGAAGATGAGCAACAAAACCACTAAAACGGTCAAATCAAATTGTCATTTCCTCTGTAATGCTTCTTAAGCTTTGGCTGTCATATTCTAAATGGAGCAATGCTAAATTTCTGTGGCTAAAACTTGCATTTCCTGTGTGTATAAAGAAGTCAGTAAAGCTTTTTGTGCTTTGTGGCTAAATTTCTGGCTGAAACAACGCAGGAAGCCCAGACGTCCTGTGGGGAAACTGAATTTCCAGTTGTGCCACAGCTGTGACAGGTCCCCAGGAACTGTAAGGTCCATGACAGATTAAAGATCTAGCCCTGAAGCAGATCAAAATCCCTTCTATGGAACTATTTTTTCTAAAGGAGGTTTTGACTGTTATCCAAGGGAGGGGGAAAATGGAGAAATAAAAGAATGCATTTGAGATGGAGATGTGAGCAGCATGGTAATACTGACCAGCCTGGCAGGATCAGTGACTGTCAGTCAGGGTGTTTGGGTACTAAAATCCAGTAAGACATCGGATTTGCGAAGAGCCCCATGGTTTTATAAGTCCAGATAGTATTCCTGGCTATTCTAAAGAGAAAGGCCAGCATCTGTATCCATGGGCTCTGTGCCAACCAGGCCCTGCAGGCACCTCCCACTCCAGCTGCCTGTGCCTCTGTTCTGTGACATGAGCATTTTCTGAGGGAAAAGGCATCACTCAGATGGCTCCAACCAGTCTAGCTTCCCCCATAGAAAGTACATTTTACTTGTGAAAAGAAGCAGCATTTATTTTTATTCCTAATACTTAGGGAGACCAAGTTGCCTGACATCAGCCAGCCCAGCTGACAAAGCTCCTGATCCGTGTGACACTTGTGTCCTCCAGTGTTGGTGATGCCAGAGACCCCCTGGGCCACGCTGGGTTCCATCAGGTGCTGGCACAGTCACAGCTGCCTTGACAACTGTCTCCTTGAGGATCGGGTGGAGTTGGCAACAGGAGCTCTGCCCCCTGTAGGAAAGACAGAAAAAGGGGAGCAGGTAAAGCAAAGCAGTGCTGGGAAAGCTCTGCCCAGCCAGAAATCCCTTTGACAGCTTAGGGCAGAGCAGTTCCCAGCCCAGAATCCTGCTGTGCTTCTATCAACCCCTCATTTAACTCTGAGGCAGATGGTCTTTCTGCTCTGGCTGCTCAGGCAGCAGGAAAGCTTCCTTTGTGGAAAGCAACCAGGTCATGAGGCTCCTCTTTCCATGGCTTCCATGCCTGTCCCTCTGCACGGACTCGAGCCCTGAGGCTCAGCTGTGCCAACACATACATGTGCAGGCATCCAGCTAGACAGATCTGGCAAGCCAGGGGTACTGGACAGCAGGACTCTGCAAAAGCCTGTGCAGCGGGGCTGAGCCCTGGGCAAGCCCTGGAGTTCCCTCAGCCCCAAAGCAGCCAAGCCCCTCCTCAGAACCTCCCCCTGCCACCCCTGAGCCCAGGCTGGCACAGACAGCTCACACCCAAGGCCCACCCCAAGAACCTGAGTGGTGTCCGTGGAGCAATTCAGGGGTCTATGGGGCCTGGTCCTGCTCCAGCTGCTCCACAGCCTGCACGAGGTCCTGCACAGCCCTGTCCACATCTGCCCGTGTGGTGCCACGCCCCACACTCAGCCGCAGCGCATTCTGTGCCACCTCTGGGGGAATCCCGCAGCTCAGCAGCACTGGGGAGGGCCTGGAACACAGCCAGGAGAAGGAGGTTGGACTGGAAGGCCGAGGAAGCCCCACATATCAACAGGGAGCCTCACCGAGCCACAAGGGGAACCACATCTGCAGATACACCCCAGGGCACCTGTCCCCTGCACAGCCCCGTTTGCTTTCCAGGGGCACCCAATCCCACCGGGCTTGTTGCCCTATGGGGGATCTGGCTCTTCTAGGAAGAACCTGTTCCATATCCCTGTGGGTTGGCAACCCTTGGTCTCTAGACCAGGCCAAAAGCACTTACAGACCCCATATTCCCTAAAGGAGCTATCTGGAGATCCAAGCAGGGCTCTGGAACAGGCACACACTGTGTTTGTGTGAGCCAGGCACACACAAACACAAGGCAGGCTCTCTTCTGCTAGTGTCAGGAGCTCAAAAGTACTTCCAAGCTCAGCTGGATCACCAAAGCTGGGAGGGACAAACTCCTTCGAAGCAGCAATCGAGCATTTCAGCTGTCTGTGCAATAATCTCCTTCACAGACCTTCAGCTCCTCTGAAAGCTCTGTACCTTCTTTGTTAAAGGTGATGCTGCCCAAGCCACTCCCTTTCCCTGTCCTGTTTCCATCCCTGTCTCTGTCCTCTGGGAAGATACCAGGGGCTGGAAAAGCTGTCTGCTCACCGATCTCCCTTCTCAGAGTGGCAGGCAGCCCCGACACTGGCGAGGAGCACCTTGCAGTGAGCCAGCACCCTTCGTCCTGCAGCACAAGCAACACAAGAACAGCTCTCCCAGTGCCAAGGCTCTCTACAGGGCCTCACCTCCCTGCCTGAGCCATGCCTGCCAGTCTCAGCTACAGGTGCTGTGAGGCACAGGTGCTTGACTCCGTGTAACCATCATGAGACAGCGGTAGGATAAGAGCTACCTTGAAGGCCTGGGCCCAGGATGGAGAAGTTACAGGTGTTGCAGAGTCGCTTGGAGCCCTTAAAGTGACTGTTGAAGCGAATCCTTTGCTTCCCAAATGAGGCCTGGAGAAATCAGAGGGCTGTGAACCACTCTGGGTTTCCAAGCAGCTCTGTCCTTTTGAGGGAGTGGGCAGGGCCAGAGGGACGTACCCACCCTGCTCCAGGCCCCATACTCTACAGCCGAGACTGCAGCAAGGGACCAGATGTGCTCACCTCCAGCGTGGCCTCTAGGTAATCCCGGACATCCCGCATATGAGCCTCATATGCCTCCCAGTTCTTGTTCACTAACTCTGCAGCCTGAGAACACAAGGACAGTGACCCTTGGACACCTCTGTGTGTGGTCCCTGGGATGTGAGCCCAGCCTGGAATAGCCTCTGCAGTGCCAGGTGCCCTGTGTCCCCTCTCAGGGCCCTGTGCCACATGAGCAGGGTGACTATCAGGGCTGCAAACCTGAAGCAAGCGCCCCAAAACACCCCCTTCGACTGGCACCAGAAAGCCCCACCACCTTTCCCAGGTCACCCTTGTGGACACTCACTTAAGAGAGCTAGGAAAATTACAGCCTGAAAAATCTTCCAAGCTGGAGCTTCTCAGCTCTGTTCCCAAGCTGATAAGCTGGTTCAGCTTCACTCAGGGAGATTTTCTCTCAGGATGATAACTTGGTCAAAACAGAGAGGAATTAATAACAAGATAAGACACCTGTTTCGGTGTGTGACCAGGCCTGGGAAAGAAGTGTCTTCTCTCTGCACCAATCAGCTTTATCCTGTCTTTTGAGTTTCGAGAGACTGTACTTAAGCAACGCATTTTTTAGAATAAACTCGTCTCTCTTTCCTGTCCGGAGAAGAATCACGTAGCTGTGTCTTATTTCCGCGGCATCTAAAGGGTTAATACCCTAACGCACGGCTACACACCCTCCCTCTCCCATCCCGAGTTTGTCCCTTCTGATGATCAGAGAGCACAAGTGGCTGTCTCTGTGCTGGGTCTGCACCACTCACCCCAACCATCCCAACTGACCTGGCCAAGGCCGGCAATCATCGGGGTGTTCTCAGTGCTGGAAGGGAACAGGGACCAGTGAGTTATTTCTCAAGACCAGAAATCCAACCTTGAGACATTTCCTCATGGGACCCCTCATGGGCTGGCAGGGGCTCCTGGACACCTCTCTGAGGTGATTGAGAAGGAGGCAGTTCCACCCTTGGCAAAGCCTGAGCTCCAGGGAGTTTCCATTCACGGATCCATTTCCCTGCTCTGCTGGGCTGCTCGCCCCAGGGCTGGCAGGTGACATAGCTGCCACCTCAGCTCACACAAGGCAGCCCATGTGGCTTGGCCACCAGCCAGAGGCCCAGCTCTCCAGGTAATCACCTGCCCCCTTACCCTGGCCGGAAACTCCTCTCCTGTCCCCCTCCAAAGAGCATTGGGTGTAGTGGGGTGGCAGTGCCGGGGCTGCGGGTGTACAGTGCTCCAATCCGTGGGCCATGGAACTGTGGGGACAGCCACAGTGACCCTGGGGACACTGACAGTACTGACAGTGCTTCCTACCCTCCTGCCCAAATCTGAGTGCCCTCCAGTGCTGGCCGCCCCTGCCCATTGCACAGGCACAAGGCACTGCAGAGATGCTCCCCATCCTCAGTCTCCTGCTCCCAACCCAGACAGGTTCCACAGGAGTGAAATCTGTCTGAAGAGCACCCAGCAGGAGATCTTTGGCCACTGTGAGGTACCAAGCTGTGTGGGACACCCAAAGTTCCACTGACACCCCAGCAGAGATGTCACACAGGGCGATCAGCAGCTGGGCCATACGAGCAGGGCCATACCTTGTGTCCCACGATGGTCAGGTAGTCCACACCCAGCTCCTGCACATCCACACGCTCCTTGCCAATCATCTGTGCTGCATCTGTGTGCACCAGGATCCTGGGCAGGCCCTCTGCTGCTCTGCGCTGGTTGAGGGCACGGATGCGCTGGCTCAGCTCCGTGACGGGCTGGTGGCAGGGATGAGAGCTGGCATTCCAGGGAACTTCTGCTCCCCTCTGTGATCACCTCTTTGTGAGGCTATCTCCGCCCCATCCCCCTCACTGCCCACACTCACCATGATGACCCCAGTCTCATTATTGGCCAACATGAGGGAGACCAAGCAGGTGTTTGGCTGGATGGCGGCCAGGACATCATCCACCTCTGCCTGCCCACTCCGTGGAGACACAGGAACAAAGGTGGTTTCTGCAGGTCAGGAGACAAGCCCTGAAGCTGGCTGGGTAGGCTGTGATCACTCAGGGCTGCCTGTGCCCTACTGGGCAGGGCAAGAGTGTGTTGCCAGTAGGAGCACAGGCACAGAGCAGAGAGGTGACACATTCCGTTTAGGGGAACATACAAAACCATGGGGGGAAACGGTGCCCTGCTCCAGGGGGAGAAAGTGCAAGATCACAGAGCATGCAGGATCTAGCCCTCCTCCAAAAACACCAGCAGAGACAAGTCTCCTGTTCAAACCTCATCTGTGCCTGTGCCACCCACCTGCCAGGCCCTCCCTCCCCATCTGCTCCAGCGGCAGGCGGATGGAGTCATGCTCCACACTCGATGTCACGATGTGTGGTGTG